AAGGGCGGCATATAAATCAATTTTTTTTTTTTAAAAATGGCTAGGTCTAAAAAAAGAACAACTAAAAAAAACCTCAATTAACTATTTTTTTTTAAGTTCCCAAAGGGGAAAAAATCTTACCCAATAGAACAGGGATCTCCAACCTTGGCAACTTTAAGACTTGTGGACTTCAACTCCCAGAATTCCTCAGCCAGCTTTGCTGGGAGTTGAATTCCACAAGTCTAGGCAGGAAGGCAGGCAGGCAGAAAGAGCTGCTCATCAATGAGCTTGATTGCAGTCAGGGAGATTCAGTTGCTTGCTGATGCATGGATTGCGATCGTCATGCAATCAGCATCTAAGCTGGAGGCGGGGGAGAAAAAAAGAAACTTTTTTTCTTTTACATGGCTGTGGCGATCCAAGCTGAGTTGCCTGATTAGCAGGCAACTCAGCTAGGATGTCAGAGCTTGGCTGGTCAGAGCCATTTAAAAGGAAAAAAAGGCTCTGATGATCGCGGGGCTATGCTGGGCTTGGGGGGGGGCGGGGGCAGGGGCAGGGATTTTTGCTACCGGTTCTCCGAACTGCCCACCGCCATCACTATCTACTCGCCTGAGCTGGTCTGAACCGGGAGCATTTCACCCCTGGTATAATGGTTCAGAGTTAACATCTGCCAGCTCCTTCAGAACTCTGGGATGTAGTCCATCAGTGATCCCAGTGATGTATATTAATCAAGGTCAGACAAGTGTTGTCTTACCATTTTCTTGCTTATTTTAATTTTTATTTCTAGTCTGTCTTTTACAGTTATATGTTTGATAGGTTGGGCTATAGTTTCTTTTTGTATGAAAACTGATACAAAAAATGAGTTAAATAGCTCTGCTTTCTCTCTACTGCTTGTTACTTTCTTGCCATCTTCTCTCTTTATTGGACCAACTGTTTCCTTGACTATTTCTTTGTTATTTATATGTTGAAAGAAATTTTTTAAAAATTATCTTTGACTTTTGTTGCAAGCCTTTTTCATTCTGAGCCTTTGCTTTCCTGACTTCATATTTGCAGATTCAGGCTATCTGCCTTAGTTATGTATCCCTCTTTCCATTTTTTTGTATTTGTCCTTTTTGTCTTTCGGTTTATAAGAGAGATCTTTGTGCAGCCATGCTTCTTGAATTTCTTTTTTTTTCTTTTTTCTTTTTTCTTTTTAAATTTTTTTATTTATTTAAAACAATACATCAAAAAAAAAAGAAATAGTCAAACAAATGATCACGACAGGAACTTTACATGATATTTACACTTTCTACGGTATGTAGGCTTCAGTCAGATTTAACATATATTAAACATAATCCTGGTTATACTTGACTTTTTGGGCGTCTGTTGTTCAACCAAACGTACCATTTGTCCCAACATTGGAAATATACGGAGTCCTTTTGATCTCTCAATGCTTTAGTCAGTCTGTCGGCTTCTGCATAATCCAAAATTTTCTCCAAAATCAAATCTTCAGCCGGCAGGTCTTTCCCCTTCCAATGTTGGGCGAAACATATTCTTGCTGACGTGGTGATAAATACACACAGACACCATATATTTGTGCCTATGTTGTCTGGCCTAATGTTCAGTAGATAGTACTCTGGTTTCAGAATTAGGTTATAACCTGTGATTTCCATGATCCATGCCTGTATAATTTTCCAGAATTCAGTCGTCCTGGAACAGGTCCACCACATGTGGAAATAGGTGCCAATCTCCCCACACTTCCAACAGTTTGGTGAGAGATTTGAATACATTTTAGAAAGACGAGCAGGTGGAAGGTGCCATCTATACCGCATCTTGTACACATTTTCTTTGTATGATGTTGCCCACAGGAATTTCATATGTTTAAGCCAGATTTCTTCCCATTTTGTCATATCAATTGGATAGCCAATATTTCTCCCCCAGGCAATCATAGAGTCTTTAACTATTTCATCCCCTATCCAATAGTCTATTAAAAGTTTATATATCCTTGATAACATTTTGTCCTCTTTTCCTAGAATGATATTGTCCAGATCATGCTGATTCAAATTAATACCATCTTGTTCCCTATCTTTTTTAAATTTCGAGCAAATTTGGGCATAAGCCCACCAATCCAGTTGTCTTCCCTGCAGCTCCAACTCATTTCTTGATTTCAGACTACCATGGGGGTCCAGAAGTTTCCGGTAAGAGAGGTGATTTTCTTTGTTATATAGAGGCCTATACGTTATAGCTTCAAGTGGGACCAGTCAAGAGGGGATTGAAGAGTAAAATTTACCCTTAATTTTCCTCCAGGACTCAATTAGAATATTCCTCACATAATGTCCTGCAAGGCACCTGTGCTTTGGGATTCTGTTTTGCCAAAGAAAATAATGCCAATCTTGATGTAGCCCCTCCCCTTCCAAGATCAACAACCTCCTTCTTCTCAACAATTACCAATCCCTGATCCAGACTAAATTTGCGGCCTGATAGTAGTATTCCCATTTTGGAACACCAAATCCTCCTCTTTCTTTAAGCTCTTGAAGCATTTTAAGTTTGATTCTGGGTTTTTTATTTTGCCAAATGAATTTAAGGACATAGTAATTTAGTTTTTTAAAAAAATTATTATCCAATCTAGCTGGTGCTGTATAGAATAGGTATATCCATTTCGGGAGTATGTAAGTTTTTATAATTGCTATTCTACCTAGTAGGGATATCTGCATGTTCTTCCACTTCTCTAGATCCTGACCTGTTCTCTTGAGAAGGTTCAGATAGTTGTCTTCTTTGATCGTGGAGCATTCTTCTTGAATTTCTTGTTTCTCTTTTTCAGTGGTATTGTGTTGGACTGGGCTTTTATTATCATATTTTTCAGAGTTTCCCATTCTTCTTGAAATTTTCTTTGCCCTTTAGGATTTTTATCTATGGAATTTTTCATAGGCCCTCTCTGAGTTTGTTAAAATTGAAAATTTTCTCAATGGTGAAAATCTTTCTTGATTTCAGGAGAACAAAGGAACAAAGGAAGTCTGATCATACTACACAGCAGAACTTCTTTTGATGATGACAAACATGTCATCCATGTAGTGGCACCATCAGATTGTTTTCTGATTCAAGGCCATTCCATTATCCTACTGGCAGGAATCCCACTACTCCTTTACCTTGGCCCTCTGTTTCATCAGACCTTTAGCCTTATCATACAAGCAGCTTTTCTCTTTCTGTAAGCATTGTTGAAAGCTTGTGTCACCCTCCCCCAATCCATCCACCACTGGAACATACAGTATTGGAAAGAGTTTCCCATCAGAGCAACTTCTCAGTTAAATGCATTCAGAACAGAACAGCACAGAACAGAGTAACAGAGTTGGAAGGTACCTTGAAAGGTAATCTAGTCCAACCCTCCACCCAGCAACCCTCCACCATTTCTGACAGATGGCAGTCCAATCTGTTCTTGAAAGCTTCCAGTGATGAAGCTCACACAACCTCTGAATGCAAGTAAGATTGTTCTCACTGTCAGAAAATTTCTCCTTATTTCTAGGTTGAATCTCTCCTTGATATGTTTCCATCCATTATTCCTTGTCTGACCTTCAGGTGCTTTGGAAAATAGGTTGACCCCCTCCTCTCTGTGATAGCCCCTGAGATATTGGAACACGGCTATCATGTCTCCCCTGGTCCTTCTCTTCACTAGACTAGTCATGCCCAGTTCCTATAATCATTCTCCATATGTTTTAGCCTCCAGTCCCCTAATCATCTTTGTTGCTTTTCTTTGCACTCTTTCTAGAGTCTAAAGAAATTCCATATAAATGCATTTAAATATACATGCTAAAAAACCTGGAGAGTGACACTAGCAATTTATTTTGTTTTGGGGTGAAATACTAGTTAGGAAATCACTTTTACTCCATGACTGCTGGTACCTCAGTAAGTGAAGTGAATTACCATATTTTTCGGAGTATAAGACACATTTTCCTTCCCCCTAAAAGAGGGTGAAAATTTGGGTGCATCTTATACACCAAATGTAGCCCCGCCCACCTGTCGGCCCCCACCCTTTGGCCTCTGCCTCCCAGCAATTTCCTCCTTGCAGCAAACAACCTGTTTCAGCTTCAGCACAGCCTGATTGTCGGTTGGATTGGCCTCCCGACCCTCAGCTGTTTCAGGCTGCAGGGATTGCCATTGTCTATTGCCGCATGGGCTTCCACTGTTTGCTGCAAGGAGGCAAATTGTTGGGAGGCAGATTTTATTTTTCTTGTGCTAATCAGGCTATGCTGAAAATGAAAATGAAATTAAAGCAGGCTATTTGCTGTTTGCTGCAAGAAGACAAATTGCTGGGAGGCAGAAGAAGATTTTTTTTTCTTGTTTTCCTCCCTCAAAAAGGTAGGTGCATTTTATAATCCAGAGCGTTTTATACTCCGAAAAATATGGTATATGACATTGTTTGCACTTTTCTATTGATCAACTGAAGAAAAACAGAGTGGCCAAGTATTCTCTGCAAGTTTTGTGTTTTCTCAAGTACAATAATGCAAAGTTTAATACAGGATGTTCCAAACTTGGAGAATGAAACTAGTGATATGGGAACTCCATGTATTGTAATGGTTTATTATTGAAGCAAAGTAGATATGAAACTGTAACATTACAGTTTTTTTCTATTTTTGAAGTCATTAGCCTATATGAAAAGAGACAGCCATTCTTGCAGGAAAGGAATTTAATTTTTTCCTCTCCTATCCCAGAACTAGTGGAAATAAATTCAAAATACATAACAATTGCTAGCCTGTTAATTTATTATTACTGAAAGGTACGTCCTGTCCAAGGATAAATGCAGGGAAATTTACCCTGATCAGAATAGGATACAATAGAATAAACTATTGACCAATTCATATATACACACACAATGATGAAAATCATCCCTCAAAGAAGATACATTTACAATAAGCAATTGCAAATCATACTTTTAACTTCACAGTTTGCTTCTAGCGCTAAAGCTATCATATACACTATATCCAAATTCAACTTTATGAAATTATTTTACAATGAGCTTGATTTAACATATACTACCTTTTTTCCTGCAGGTTGGTTGTATGCCTTGGATCTGGAACACTAATTCCAGCAGCTCTATAGTTATAATTTCTTCCAGTGGGATAAATAAGACAATGACTGAACTTCCATGCGATACAGCTCATTATGCATTTCTCTCCTGTGTTGTGGGGACTTTGACCCTGGCAATATTTTTACGTGTATCTTCTTTGCCAAAATTGATCCTTCTACTTTTTGTTATGATTCTGTATATAGTTATTTTGGAGCTCAGTGGATACCGAAAGGCAGTAGGGTAAGTTTTGGCATAATTACCAATGGGCATAACTACTGCTTCCATAGTTTATCTTCACACTTGTAATGCAATGCTCTTTTATAGGAGGAAAAGAATTTTAATATATGTCAAAGATTTTGAAGATAGTCTTTAGCTATTTATGTCTTCCATAGAACAAAGCCACGTATGGAGTTAGTTCATATTTAGCCCCATTTTTCTTTTACTCTTTTTCCTCCATTTCCTATTTTTTTTATCCACCATTAGATTATTAAAGCCCTTAATATAAGAAATGACTGGGTTTATATGTCCATCATTATATTGCATGCCTTGTTTCTCCAGCAGAGTCAAAAGCTAGGAATGTGATAAGAGTTCTTTCTTTCAATATACTTCAGTCTATCTCTCAACTGAGAGATGAAGAGTACAGTGGAAGCATAGGAGGAAACCAAGGCACTTACAAAAAAAATTGGGGAAACTCCTGCTCTGCTCCACAAGTTCAGAAGGGCCATACATAGCCTTTCTTTTTACTGCTGTTTCTATTGCTCTTTTTATATTCTGTTATGCCATAAAGTTATCCATAATAAGTAGTAACATTACACCTCTTAAATTCCAACAGTTTACCATTAGATGTGAATCATCAGTCATATTATTTTCACTTTGTGAGAATAGCAAAGAATAAAAGCTTGCATCCTTTTTTTCCCCAAAGGGATGGCTCCTTTTATATACGTGGCTATGAACCAATATTAGCCATCTTGCTTTTTTCCTGTGCTTTGGCACTTCATTCAAGGCAAGTGGATTTGAAGTTACGTTTGGACTACCTCTGGGCTGTGCAGGTAAGAAATACTTTGTCTTAAATATTGTGTTAAATTCCCAGTCTATATCTTTTTACTATTTACAAATAATTTTAACTAGAAAATTACCCATCAAGTGTATATGGAAATACAACCATAAATATGAACTGTACAAATTTGGGCAGTGGGCAATTCCAGCCCCAACACCCCTTTCTGGTCATTTCCCTTGGCCTTTACATCTTCTTTTATGAACCTGAGTTTTGTTAGCTGCTTTATATGTGTCCTTGCCTCAGGCTAATGTCTCCTCTTCCTCTTGTGCCTTGGGGAAGTTTAGACCATTATTTTGGCTGTGAATAACTGCCTTAGATGAGAATCAAGGTAGTGAATGGCTAGCCCTTACTTATTGTAAGATAAGGAGGAGGCAAAGTCTCCCCTCTCAGGCCATTAATAAAAAGGCATCAAGGCCTGATAGGGCAATTTGGAGTTTGGGGAGGAGGGAAATGTTGAGACAGGATTGTATGAATGAGAGAGAACTGATTCAGTGTGGACCATTCCAAAGCAACAAAGTCTTCCAATTTCTTTACAGTCTTTACTTCTAATTCATAATCTAATCTTGATGGCTGAATTGCCCAGTTTCCTGGCCTTGGGGTGCTGTTGGCAAATACCAGATCTGTCTGTAATAAAAGTTCATCCATTCACAATTTGGTGGTGAATGAGTAGGCAGATCTGGTGTATATTGCAAAATCATGAGGGTGGGAATGTTGCTTGTTCAGAGGAAATGGTATTCTTTGCTACCTAGCAGTATTTTTCTTTGAACTATTTGATTTGGGGAAAGCCCATGAGTTCATAGTCTCTGTGGCAACTGTAGGCTTAAGTAATCCCTGGACGACATATGTTGGTGGTTATGTGCTAGATCTCATTTTTCCCTTGGAGCAGTTGGAGAGATATGGATTTGGAGGAGCTATCTATCATCCCTTTGCTTTAATCTGCTGACACCTGGGCCCAATTGTGTCTAACTACAAGATAGGACCTTTGTAGGGTAATTGAACCCATTATGATGATTGATTCTAGGCACCAAATGGACCCAAATGGTTTCCAATGGGGAATTTCCTTACTATCTAGCAAGCAATTGCATCAAATGCCCATTGAACCTCTGGCAACCAAAATCAACCCAAACATTTGACAAGATTACCCCACAGCCTGGGATAGGAAATGAAGTGATATAAACTCCATAGGATAGGGCTGTCAAACTCACAGCCCATGGGCCAGATGCATCACACACTGGCCACGCCCAGACCCGGTTTAGCGAAGGGAAAAAATCACGATGCATCATGTGACACTGCCATAACAACACAAGTTTAATACCCCTGCCATAGGAGGACCATTAGAGAATGACAAAAAGTGAACTAGATCTAGTATAGTTACATGACCATATTCAGGCCTACATCATGATGACCAGAGAGACAAAGCAACTTACTTCAATCAGTCCTATTTAGAATGGTGAAGTCCCTTGAGGCAGAATCAAGATCCCAGTTGGTTGTTTTGACCAATTTGTACAGCATTTTACTGATAAAGCTGTTCAGATTCATGGTCAGACTGTATGCTGATGATTAGTGCAACATTTTGCCAAGTTATTTTGAAATATTTTTGGCCCGTGAACTCTGTTGAAGTGAATACAGTACTAATTAGAATACCACCACTATAGACTTGAGCCCTTCTCTCTTGGCCTTAGAGGAGCTGCATTGTTTGTTATCACATGGCCGTGGTCAATTGCCAAGCTTCACAAAGTAAGGGATGTTGCTGGTTATATTGAAAGAGATTTGGTATGCACTCTCATAAAATAGATCATCTGGATCCAGTGGTTTTACATAGTCACTATCCAATCCTCAATCCTGTCTTTCTAATTAAAGTTCTTGATACATTGCTGACAGATCAATTACAGAGCACTGTAGAAGAAGTAGGTGTGAAAAAAAATAATATTGTTTACTCAAGTAAACAATATTATTGTTTACTCAAGTAATATTGTTTACTCAAGTAAACAATCAGGTATGCCTTGGTGGCGTAGCTGATTAAAGCACTGTTACAGTGCACCAGCTGCCTGCAATTACTGCAAGTTCAAATCTCACCAGGCTCAAGGTTGACTCAGCCTTCTATCCTTTCTAAAGTAGGTAAAATGAGGACCCGGTTAGTGGAGGCAATAAACTGACTTCGTATAAAATATACAAAAGTATGAAGGCTATTGCTTAACGCATTGCTTAACGCATTGTAACCTGCCCTGAGTCTCCAGAGAAGGGCGGCATATAAATCCAAAAAAAAAAAAAAGTAGATAAATTTTCTGTTCTCTTAGTCTTCTTGGCAGTCTTTGATTTTATTGACCATGGTATTCTTGTGGACCTCCATTAAACCACAAGCATCAGAATACCTATTATAACAGAGTTCCTATTCTTACACCATATCCATAACCAGACAGTCCTAGTAGCTAGTAGCAGAGGGGGAGATATTGAGTCAGTGGCATTTTTTGTGGGGTGCCATAGAAATCAGTCCTCTTATCTCCAATTTTTTACAACTAATGACGTCACTAGGAAAAATCATGCAACGCTTTGAGATACAGGGTCACCCAGTAGTGGTATTCACTTATCTTTGCTTACCGGTTCGCAAATGTGAGCGCTTCGCTCGCTTTGCTAACGTGTGCCATCTCTGCGCATGCACGGAGTCTTCTGCGCATGCGCAGAGCGTCTGTGATGATGTCCGGGTGGGTGGGCGGAGCCTCCTGCCACCGCTACTGGTTCGCCTGAACCGGGTAGAACCGATAGAATCCCACCACTGGTGTCATGAATAAATTGATTATATCCAGCTTTATATTGCTATCCAGTGGTAATTGGAGGGTAATAACTTAGCTTAGTACCTTGAGACTGTCAAGAATTAGAATAAAATGGTTGAACCTGAATACAGGTAAAATGAAGGTACTGTTGTCCAGTAAAATCCTAATCCTGTATTGTCTCTTGATGGCAAAGTAGTATCATTTAAAGAGTGGATCCATGATTTTGTGTACAGGGATGGACAGAGAGAGATATAGTTGTTTGAAAGCAGTTCTCTTGTTCTTTCTATCCTCTGGGCTACGCAACAGGTTCCTTTGTAGCCTTGGGCTTCAGCTGTTGCTTTTGAATACCAAGCTGGAGTGTAGCAAGATCTTCTCATGTGCTAATGTGGCATGTCTTATTAAGATCTGGTTGGACTGAGGGGGGAGTTTTGTGTTTTGCACAAGCCAAGAATCCAGGAAAGGAGAGGGAAAGAGTGGCTGATGTCATCCGGAAATCGTTACAGCTGTCAAGGGCTTCACAAACAACCAGTTAGGAGATCATTTGGACTCAAGGGAATAGGTGGAATTGCTGTCCGCAGCTTCCCTGCTTGAACTGCTAGCTTTCATTGGTCAATTACAATAGAATCCCCAAAGTTGAGGACCCAGTTTGTGGGGGCAATAAGCTGACTTTGTATAAATATACAAAAGTATGAAGGCTATTGCTTAATGCATTGTAAGCCGCCCTGACTCTCCGAAGAAGGGCGGCATATAAATCAAAAAATTTTTTTTAAAAAAAGTTGTTCATTCTAGAGATTTCAGTTTGCCAGTGTTGTTGAGTTAAGTGCAACTCAAGAACTGACAACCAACAATCTGTCCCAAGTCATTTATGGCCAAATACCTGGAGGACACATATTATATCTGATTGTTCCAGGCCAGTTGAAATATGATCTGGCAGTGAAGGATATTAACATCAGTCCATTTCGGTGGACAGATAATTATCTGATTGCCTTCAGCTCACTGGTATTCCCTGAAGGGAGAGACAAGACACATTCAATTTTCAATTGATGAACCCAGTGGAGCTTAAGAGAACTGGGAATTTTCTTATGGAATCTGATGGGCAGTTCAGTTATGGCTCTAGTCACTGGCTCTAATGGGTAGGTGGCTGCATCTTTGGATCATATTGCTTCTATATGGCCTTTCCCTGTGTAGTAATCATAGAATGCATCTCAGTTTATTGAGTAGTTCTTGGAAATGAAGCACCAAAAGAGACACCTTGAATAGCAGTAGAAGTCTCAAAGCGATTGAACATGGGCAGCAGCCCCATATTAAGGATTATCTCATGATAATAAGGGTAATGAAATGTCAGTATTTCTTCTGATAACTTTCAAGGAGCCCTTTTAGGATGACCCATTCTCTATTGGGTAGGGAGAGCCCTGTAGAACATCTGCTGGGCTATTTTGAAGATTATTCAGGGGATCTAATGGATAAAGTCATTCAGATTTGCTCTGTATTAGACTTTGATTGGGAAGAGGAGACTGAAATACCTGGGATATGTCTTGTTGGTCTGATCTGGGATACGTTTGAACCAATGACCCCTAAGGAAATGAACAGGGCTCTCTGTTGACCTGACCACTTGTTTACTGGATCCAGGTCCTTCATGAGTTGTGAAAATGGCCAAGGAGGTGACCTGCAGTTGGATCCATGCAATAGTGTTGGCCTTTTTGAGAGAGATAGTGGTGCCCATGGCTTTGAAAAAGACGGTAATGCATCCCCTCCTAAAGAATCTGTCCTTGGACCAAATGATGTTTGATATCTAATAACCATTCTCCAACCTTCCCTTCTTGTAGAAGGTTGTTGAGAAGGTGGTCAGTCTGCAGCTGAGGAGAATTCTGGAGGAAATAGATTATCTAGACCCCTTTTAAACAGGTTTCAGGCCAGTTTTTAATACTGAGACAGCTTTGGTTGTCTATGACCTATGGTGGATCCTAGATGGTAGTAGTGCATCCATTCTTGTACACCTTGATCTCTCAGTCTCACAACCATCAGCATTGGTATTCTTCTGAGCTTGTATACCATCCTTGGATGGGCAAGTGTAATTCCATCCAAGGTCAAATTTAGAATATCTGCAGATCTGACCAAGTGGATCTTGGACTATCTAGATCTGTGGATATTCCAATTTTGACCTTAAATGAAGGATGGTGCACAATTTGGGGGTCTTCCTTGATTCACAAATTCTGCTCAATGAGCAAATGACAGCTGTGGCCAGGAAGGTCTTCCCCAACTTCATCTGATACATCAGTTCTGTGTTTTCCTAGATTGGCAGATTTTTAGTCACTCCTGTCCTGGTCACCTCATTACTTGACTACTACAGTGTGTTCTATATGCAGCTGCTGTGGAAGACCATCTGGAAGGTTTAGCTGGACCAGAATGCAGTAGTGCGGGCACTGATGGGCATGCCTCGGTATGCTCACTTGCTTCACAAGTTATCAGTTTGCTTCCAGATTCAAATTCTGATTGCTATCTAAAAAGGCCTACATCCTTACCAGGTTGATGTTTGCAGCCTTCATTGTTTAGAACATTTTTTTTTCTCTTGACAGGCAGAAGAGGAGAGAGATGATATGGAGAGAGTGAAACTAGATAATAAAAGAATACTTTTCAATCTATTGCCAGCACACGTTGCTCAGCATTTTCTGATGTCAAATCCAAGGAACATGGTAAGGAAGTTAATTATTTGTTTTTAAAGACTTGTATTAAACCTTTTCATTTTTTTCAGGGCTTTAATTATAATGATATAATAATAATTACAGTCATGTGGCAATGTAGTAGAATAAAATTAATATTAAAATAGAAGACAAAGAAATAGAGTAGAAAGTATCTATCAGAGTTTGTTGCAGCACACACAATCAGAAACAATTAAATGAATTTCAGAAGGATTCAAATTACATAAGAAATTTCTTTATATATACAATACCATACAGGAGAATTCAGCATACAATATCAGGAACACAGAAGCAATATTCATAGAAGCAAGTCATTACAGAGTAGAGAGATCCAGAGGTAAATATATTGTACAGAGGCTCTCATTACAGAGGCCAAACCAACTCTTATATATAGTTCAGCAAGTCTAAGCCACACCCAGATTCTAAACTGTCTCTTATGGCCCCATACAAACAAATACTATGTTTCAATTTCCAAACAGTCCCCATTTGCTGACCTGTTACCATGTCTATTTCAGCTATGAATATTCATACTCTGACAGTATCCAGTCTGAAAATCAAAGTTAATATTAGATAAGAAAGATTTAAGAAAGTTGAAAGATTATGACATAAATCAAAGGCTTCAATGGCACTTAGAAAATCTGTACATTGACAAAAATTTCATCTGTCAATTACAAAAGGCCACATACTGCTGAGATTTGCCCACATAGTATGCTCAAATATTAACATGCAATGATTACACATTGTTGTATTTGTAATAAATATAATAAAGAGTGAAATTAAAGGTTGGCAAAACCTTTATCTAATAATGGCAAAACATACCTAATAATGAAAGATCCAACAAAAGGGGCATAACCAGGCAACTACATGCCAATTATCTGCTTACAAACAACGTTCAAATTGTGAACTGGATGTACTTTAAACAGCATTTAGGTGAATGCTTCTTTCTATCTGAGCAGAAAGGGAATTTCCCAAGCAGAAGAGGAACAAGATGATTTTGGAAAACTACAGTGTAGGACAGTGATGGCTAACCTTTTTGTCATTGCATGCCAGGAGAGGGGGGGAGGTTCACGCATGCGCGTGCCCATACCCATAATTCTATGAGCCCCCCCTGTGTATGCGCATGCAACCTTCCTCCCCACTCCCACTCTTGGCACACGATGGCCTGGTAGGCCCATTTTTCTTTCTTACCTGGCTCCAGATCCTCTCTATGCATCTGGGAAGGGCGAAAACAGCCTTTCCCACTCCCTCGGAGGCTCTCCGGAGGCCTGAAAGGGCCCATTTCTCAACTCCTGATGGGACAGGAAGTGATGTTTTTTTGATGTCCCCAGCCTCCAGAGCCTCTCTAGGAGTCTCTGGTGGCTGGAGACAGCAAAAAAAGTCACTTCCTGTCCCACCGGGAGTTGGGAAATGGGCCCTTTCAGGTCTCCGGAGGGCCTCTGAGAGAGTGGAAAAGGCTGTTTTCGCCCTCCACAGATGCATAGAGAGGATCAGGAACCAGGTAAGAAAGAAAAATGGGCCTTCCCCACCCCCACCCCCAGACCCTCCGGAGGCAGGAAACAGCCTGTTTCCCTACTTCAGGTGGGCCCAGAAGGCCCAAAAATCAGCTGGCCGGCACGCGCATGCACACCAGAGCTGAGCTGGTGTGCCCATTGATATGGCTATGCGTACCACCTGTGGCACACATGCCATAGGTTCGCCATCATGGGTATAGGAGAAGGAAGACTAACTTGAATGTAAGTTGGACTGATTACAAGAAGGCATTTGATTCCCTGACAAAATACTGTTTTCCATTATGAGATGAGTTAACTATATTGTGCTTTTCCCAAGAAATTAATGTCCTGTGTTTTTATTGAAAAAGGTCAAGCAAGAATTCCAAGCATTTGAAAACATTGAGAAGTATTAATTCTCTCCACCATTCTGGGTAACAGTATGAAATAGTTAATAGCCAAGGTTACTAAATAGAAGAAACCTTTCATTAAAGTGAAGATACTGACAATGTTAGAAGGAATATGCCTTCTTGTCCAACCTACATTCAAGTTAGTCTTCCTTCTTTTATTACCATCTTTTTCTAGCAGAGATAATTATAATAATTTAATATTGCAATTATTACATATATATATATAATATTCCTTGAATATTCTTTATCTAATAAGAATGTAATTATTTATTACAGGATTTGTATTACCAGTCATATTCACAAGTAGGAGTGATGTTTGCATCCATACCAAATTTCAATGATTTTTACATTGAACTGGATGGTAATAATATGGGAGTAGAATGTTTACGTCTGTTAAATGAAATTATAGCTGATTTTGATGAGGTAAGAGCTAATTTGTCTTTACTATTGCCATTGGGTCTGTCTCTCCCTTTCTCTCTCTTTCTTAGCCAAATCTCCCTCACAAGGCTGTTGTGGACAAAGAGCTATTGAATACATTTAGAAAGTGACATTATAGTATTATAATAATTTTGTAAGTAAAATTAATTTAATATTAATTTCTGATAAAATGAACATATGGTCCCTTAACTAGAGAATATTCTTCATGTTGTTCCATAAGGCAGGGACTGCTATGCAAAAGGCATGCTTCCTAGCTCCCATTAGAGGAACAGGAGTGTGTCCATCCATTGTCACTTGGTAGGACAGGTAGATGTCCTTAAGGGAAAGGTGGTCCTGCAGATAGCCTGGCCATATGCCATAAATATCTCTAAAAATTAAAAGGAATTATGTTATACAATGGTACAGTGCCCCACCGTTTAAACTGCAGTCTAACTTGAAGTTGTTTTCATTTACTTGCTGTTACGCTAGATTTTCCTTTACCTCTCATCCAATATCTTCCCATGTGTAGAATTGATTCATGGAATAGTAAAACTTAAAGGCTCTGTGCCATTTATGATAATAATTGGTAGTTTTAGAACATACAGGTCCAGCTATGCTTCATTGCAACTGCTGTGTTCTTTCCATATATACTCATCTCATTAAGGTGGAACAGATCAGGAAACAAACAACACAAAAATTATTAGGAATCTATTGATAAATACAATAATAATAAAAGCCTGAAATCCTTACATGATTTCTCTTTTCCTCCCTCTAATACCAAGAAAAATCAAGGTAAAACATTTTTGAGTTTCTGCCTCACGTTTTTCTGTTTTCCTGACTAAGTTCGTATTTCATCAATGGTTGCTGCATATTTTCTTCATGGCCACCTCTGTGATCTTCAAATCCAACCTTTTTATTTTTTCAAACCAGATATAATGTTTGAAAGAAATTGTGTAAAGAACTTTGGAATTCTTTCTGTCTGCCTGTAATCCTTTTGAAAATTGAACAGAATTGGACCAATTTTGAGGAGGGGGGAGGACTAGCAAAAGTAGATTGAAGTTAAAAATTATCTAGATGAACTAGAAGGAGCATTCTGTCCACTCTCACATTCACCCACCCCTACTCCAATTTGTAGTATATCACTCCATGGCATCTCCACAGCAGAAGACATTTGACAATGGCTTGAATTGTTCCTAACATTCTAAGCTCTTCTCCAATGGAGCTGTATATCTCAGAATGAAATTATTATTAAGAGGTTGGAGGGAAAATTCAAAAACTCTGTATACTTTCTCATTCTTATTGTATTAAACAAAATAAGCAAAGATAAATAGATTTTGCTTAATACGCTGAATTAATATGCTGCTGAAATTATAACAAGAGTGATCCATAATCATTTTTCATGGCCACTGAAGTCTTTAAATGACATTTGCTGTAGGTGTGAGGCAATAAAAAGAATAAATGCTAAAACAAGGGATACACACATTATTCTTTGTTATCTGAAATATTATGCAATATTTAATACTTTTGTGTTTTAAACAAAGCTTATGGACAAAGAATATTACAAAGACATTGAAAAAATCAAGACAATTGGAAGCACATATATGGCAGCGGTGGGCCTTGTGCCAACTACAGATAGCAAGGTAAATTATCTTCCTTTGGGATGCTGTATTTAAGTAATACCATATCTGAAGTTAAGAGTTTGTTTTGAATCTGTGAGTGCATTGAATAAAACTATACATGTTTAACTCATGAAATTTGCAACTCAGACATGGCAATATCCAAAGCAAAAGATTTGTGAGAACCTGGAAACAAACTAGCAGCCAGTAATGATTTGTTAAAAACAAATCATACCACACATGAATTGCCCTTTTTGATAACCTAACTAAATTAGTGAACCAGAGAAATGTTGTGGACATAATATACTTAGATTTCAGCATGGCATTAGACAAAGTAGACCACAACCTAATTCTTGGCTAAGATAGAACAATTTGCAATTGGCTGTTATACCAATTTATATCATGCTAGTGAGACAATACTTAGAATACTGCATACAGTTCTGATCACTGGGATACAAAAATGGCATTGAGACCCTAGAAAGTGTGCAGAGAAGAGCAACAAGTTGATGGGGGTTCTGGAGGCTAAATTGTACATCAAAATGTTGTGAGACCTAGATATTTCTAGTCTCTAGAAGAGAGTGATCGGAGGGATGTGGGAACATGAAAACTGTCTTTCAATATTTTGAATGGTTCTCATGAAGAAGAGGAATTAACTTATTCTCTAGAGCCAGAAGAAGAAATAATGGGTGAAAGCTTGTCAAAAAGAGTTACAACATAAAAATAAGAAGAAATTTTCTTATAGTAAGAGCAATTAATAAATGGAATAGCTTGTTTCCTTGAGTTGTGGTTGTTCCATCATTGGAAATTTTCAAAAATAGACTGGACAACCATTTGACGGGGAGCTATAAAATTCATGACTTGAACAGGGTGTTGGACTAGAAGACCTCATTAGTCCCTTCCAGCTGTAGGAGTCTATAACACTAAGTTGCTGCAAAAGAAACTGGAAATTTGTAAAATCTATGAGCATATCTATGTCAACAAAGACAAATTGTACAGCAATAGGAAAGAGAGGACTACTTGTGTTTCCTAAATGCAAAATAGGTGATATCTGGCTCAACAATCATAGCTGAGAGGGATCTAGGTATCCTAATGGCCACAATTTAAGTATGTGCTAATCTGACCCCCCAGATACATGCGCGTGCCTGCACGCACACATATAAAATATATAATAAATATATAATAAATATAATATGCACACACACGCATGCACACATACACATCATGTTAACATTTCAGCAAGCATTAATCAGCTCAGAGATGATAAAGCTACACTAAACCAAAGGTCATCTAATCAAGTAATCTGTTTTCTGTCTGTTTTCTGCAGTGGCTAAACAGATACTGTACCTATAAGAAACCCAGGTGCAGGACATGAAATCAATAATTATCAATACCTATGAACCCCCCTCACGAATAATTTAATCTTACTAAACATGACTAATTAACTGCTATTGGTATAATAACTGTTTGTAAATTTTTATAATCATCTGAATTTTGTAATCCTAGAGTCCTCACTCTTCTCTACAACAGCTCTAGTCTTGTGAAATTAACTTCTCCCCAAAATGAGTATTTAACACTTCTAACCTGTTAAATATATGTCACCTGTATATTTATTTATATTTAAAGAGATTCTTCATCTGTTTTAAAAACTTGTTAAACCTGTGTTTCATTAATTGATACAACATTATGAATGACATAAAAAATTCTTTTGAAAATATAGGCAAAGAAATCAATTTATTTCCATCTCAGTACACTGGCTGACTTTGCAATAGAAATGTTTGATGTTCTTGATGAAATCAACTATCAGTCCTACAATGATTTTGTTCTTCGGGTTGGTGAGTTACATTTTCAAGAATGAATTCTATACTGTTACTGTTTCTGCCGACATTCATAGCAGAGATTTTACAAACAAAATAAATACTATGTTCTGACAGTATATAGCAGCTAATATTCTACCTAATAGCTGCATAAATCATTTTCTTCTGTCTAACTTGACAACTGTTAATTAATATTAAAGATGTGGAAAATGCTCAGGGATGAATGATCATAATAAAAAAAACAGTTTTATAGAAATTGGAATTCCTTCATTCCTCATTCTTCCATAGGGAGAAGTTTCCAGAGAGATCATGAAAGTCTTTTAAGAAACTATGTTTTAATCTTCAGAGAGATAAAAACAAAAACAAAACCGTAAGCTGCAAAAAGGCACTTCCAGATACCAGGCACTTCCAGATACAATATATCTGCAGTGGGAAAGCCAAATATTCTGTCATTGTTCTACTTCAGTTTATGCCACCATCCCCTCCTACTAATCATTTTCTTACTGTTTGCAAGAAGAGCAGAAAAATCAGCTTGTACCAACCCAAGCAATTAGGTATTAGTAGTATCCAGGTATTAAACATTCATTTCCCCACCTCCATCTCCCCAGAGATTGTCCCAAAGCGGAACTCCTCCTGAAGAAAAGTTTAAGATTATCAAATATGTTGGCAGCTATAATTTTCAAGCTATTCAGGGTTAATTGAAGAATTGCTATAGGCCTTCCTTTCACATACCAGTGAGTTTTTATTAATTGTTTATTAGCAGAATTTGGGGAAGTTACCTGTTAACTGCTTCTGTTAAGTCAGCATTCTTCTTCATTTCTGTTCACAACTGAGTGCAACTTGGGAATGTTCTATAGACTGAATATTATTTCTCCATTTCAGCTTCTTAGTATCAAAAAGCAATTTCAGTAGAATGGAAATATATCCTTTATAAGGGATGGATAGGGCACAGATACTTCCTTGCCAAGCCCGATGATCACTAGATTTCATTTTTTAAGTATTTGGCTTCTTTTTCAGGTATTAATGTAGGCCCTGTAGTGGCAGGTGTTATTGGTGCCAGAAGACCTCAATATGATATCTGGGGTAATACTGTAAATGTTGCTAGCAGGATGGATAGTACTGGAGTGCAAGGTAAAATTCAAGTGAGTATTTTCAGAGTTCTCTTATAAATTAAATCAGTCTTAATAAAAAACCAAAACAATGGGTTACTTCTCAGAATATAGTGAAACTCCACCTATGGAAAAAATTATTTATTTTATTCATTAATCAAACTTATACATCACCCATTTCATTGTCTAAGTGACTCTGAATGGTTTACAAATAAAAAAACCCATAACATCCCTAAAAAAGTAAGTTAAAAAGATGGAAAGAACACTCTCAAGCCACCAACCACAGCAAATTCTTCTGTGCAGCCCTGACGGTAAATATCTGGATCCTATTACCCAAGAGGACTGGATAACCAGGTAATAGAGAAGTGGCACTCTGCAGATGCAATAAGAGGAGAGAGAGATTGTTTTGTTGCTCTTACCTCTTGAGATTATTATTATTATTAAATTTATTTGCCACCTATCTTGTCATGGCATTATCCTAGGAGGCTTACAACAATTAAAAAACAAAACAAAGCAATAAAAAAAGAAGTTTAAACAAAGTGACAGTAAAATCATAGAACAATTAAAATAAACAAAGAGAAAGAAAACAAAAAACATCAATATGATTAGTAAAAAAAAAAGATGAGAGAGCGGGGAGTAGCTCTAGTTCTTATTTGGCAAGAATGTTGAACAATTCCCCTGTGATATTAAAAGTTGCAAGGGAAAAAGATGAAAAATCCAAAACCCTAAGATGACAATGGATTGAGACAAATTTTGTTTGGTGTTTAAAAGATAACTATAGAAGCAGAATGAGATTTCTCTTAGAATGGAGTTTGAAACAGCCATAACAAATGCTCTTTTCTCTTAAAAAATAAAAAATGAAGTTTAGGGAACTGGCTATTAAAGAAAGATCTGTTATCTAGTAATCACTGGTGACTGAGGTTTGTTTAATTTACAGGTTACGGAAGAAGTACAACGTATATTGAAGAGGTGCAATTATGAGTGTGTTTGTCGGGGGAAAGTCAGTGTGAAAGGCAAAGGTGAAATGCTGACTTATTTTCTAGAAGGAAAGACCGATGGAAATAATTCACAAACACGATCTTTAAACTTAGAAAGGAAAATTTATTCCTATGGGAGAGCAAACATTCAGACCAAATTGGGCACAAGTTGTCCATCTATGTGCTCATCCCCCAGCCTTTCAACAAACACTGGGTCTGGAACACTTCAACCACCAATAGCACATACTAATCAGACACTCCATTACCTTCCTTCCGTGCCAGCTATAAAAGAGGCATGAAAGCAGTGAAAATCTTTGTCCTGTCATTTGAAATGAACATGTACAGCAGAGGTCATCAGAAAAGTTAAGGCTGCAAAATTTGATAGTAACCAAGAAGTCTAACAACCCAACCAAAGAGAACTTGGGAACCACTAATAAGAACTTATGGGAAGGATCAAATAAGGGCTAGCAATTCTGTTTGAGAAGTGATTCTCTGAAACTATGGAATATTTTATCAGTAATTTTAATAGATAAATAAGAACAGAGAAGACACACCAATAAGACTGGATATTTGCATAAACAACATAACACATATAAATTTATGTGAGAGAGATTGGGATTGTTTCATTCCCTACTGATTTTCCTGCTGTAAGCTGTCACGGAGAAATGTTCGCAATATCATATAGCAGAGAGAACATTTATATGATCATATCCAGGGTACTTGATCTATCATTTACAGTTGCTGCTTAAGCAAAGGGTGACGATAAATTTGATTTATATGAAGATGTAAGAAAGCACTGTGGAATGCTTTAACATAGTATTTCTAGGCAAATGAAAGAAATTTCAGCATTTGCTGTAATGTTGGAAGTAGTAACTCTTAAAGAAAACAAATGTAGCTTTTAAATTTCACTAAGTTTTGTATTTTTGAGTGTTTTCTAACTGTGTAGTGATGATGAATCAGAGATCAGGCTATAAGTAGATTTATTGGAGATATTGGGTACTCATCGAATTTATGATAATTACGAATGATTTCCTATTCACACAAACATTTGGATGCAGCACAGTTTATCTCATATTGTTGCACAGAATCATATAGAAACAGCAGCTCCCATATTGGAGATGATGGTAGATAGGAATAGAATTTGGTTAACTATTCCAGGACAGAATGCTACTAAAGTGGCAGCTGTGTGCATGCCAAAGGAATATTAAGCTGTAGAAAATTATGCCTTTTCAGTTGGCCAAATGGCTAATTTAAGACATTTAGTAATTAATTACAAAATACATTTTGTCACTAGACACATATATAGTTCTGTTCCCTGAAAAGTTCACAGATTTGTGAACAAAAGTTTGCTCCTGTCATGAAATAGATATATCAAATCCTATCCATATTATTTGATGCAAATCCTTTACAGATGACTTCTGTTTTAAGTTTGTTCTTGTCTCTTTCATATGAAGATTCTCATTAACAAATACATGTTGATTTTTAATACAAAGTTTAAACTTCTTATTTTGATAGAATCAGTTAATGTATTTACATAGTGATGGTTTTTGCATCTCAAATGAAAATACTTTTAATACTAACATAACAGTTTTGGAAATGTCAGGCAGCCAAAATTTTTGTTGTATAAGAATATTTTCTTCCATTTCCTGGCTTTTGAATTCTATTTCAATGCCTTGAGTGCAGCTTCCAAGAAATGTCTCCATTGCAAGTTCTGTTAGTATAAACAGGAATTACTACAAAGCACAAACCTTCTTTGGAGCTCACACAAATTTCAATTTACTTCCTATAAAATATTCAAAGTGCTTGTCTTCTTTGTTATTTTTGCTTGAAATTGATGTAATAAATTAAATAGCAGAAGAAGACATTGTTCTCATCTGCAAAATGGATGGTGAGGGACTTATAGAAGAAAAAGGAAATTTTTTGCAGATTCCAGCTTTACTTTGTACTAGAAAAGCTGAAACTGCCAAGTATATATTTTGTCATCATTTTAGCAAAGTTAACTTCAAACGTAAATACCCTTTATAGGCACTCAGGTCTCTTTGATCATTACACATAAAGAATATCCAGATGTTTATTTGTGACATTATTGGTAATTTCTTATGTTCATTTTAATCCTGATCAATTTTATTCATATAAGTATTTCCAAAATTCTATAGTAAATATTTTTTCCTTGTTCCCAGTGAAGAAATATTTACTTTTAAAGTATAGTATATCTCAAGAGATAATATATATAAAATTTAGAAGTGATTATGAAAGATAGGTGTATTGAAAGATGAGATTATCACTGGCCTTTTTTAAAAAAGAAACCTCTGGATTTCTCTTTATGTTGTTCAAGACTTTATTATAAAAATATTACTTCTACTATAGTGCAGTCGCTTTTGTTGCATTCTTAAGAATACAGAGACAGCATTGCATTGTTCTTTCTCTCAGCTCCCATTCATTTATCTAAATATTTTCACAGTTTTACAGTGGATCTATTGTCTCTGGGCTTCACCTAATTTATCTCAAGAGCTTCATTTTATTTGCTGGTACAAAGAGACTTTCCTGGAGACGTAGGGCTTTGATTTATAAGAGAAAAAACTCTTATTTTTCTCTAGCAAATTTTAAAGCATGCTAGGTTTTTTTTCTGAGATGTTTCTCTCAATAATAAGAGATCAGAATATGATCTCACTAGTAAGTTTTGTTTCTCTTGAGCCACACTCTGTCTCTGATTTAATATATTGATATGCCAAATTTTGGGAAAGATTTTCAATGTAAAAACATAGTCTTTGGACTTAATTTCTTTTTCCCAAATTCAGAAAGAGGGCAAAAAAAAAAAATCCATATGACTTTTTGCACTTCATATAAGATTTAATTATCAATATGACACTGACACTGTCACCATTCTTTATTCCACAAAGCACTACTCCCAAGTCAAGTAAAGGGATGGAATTCATAGTTATTTGCAAAAAAAAGTTACCTCTCACTAATTTTGGTTCATCTCTAATCTGAATAATTATTTCTTTTGATTACCTTTTTTTCTAGTTCAATTATTAAGAATATTCTTGCTTTATTTCCCTAGAAAAATATGTTCTGACATATATGGTCCTATTTTAGCTAAGGAAACCACTCACAATTCCTCAAGTTAGCCTTCTTTGCTTAACATGCACAGACTGCTGTTAGTAAAAGCATAACTTGAAAAAAAATTGATTGACCAATGATTATTAGGGATATGCTAGTAGGTAGCACAATGTTTTATAACCCTTGCACAATTTACTCTTATAATAATAAAGTGTTTTTAATTCCCACTAGAACAGAAAAGATATCCAAGTTCTGAGGTGGAGGTGGGGATTAACTTTTATATTGTTATGAAAAGATACTGGATAGAATTATTTGCAAACATTTTACATTTTCAGAAAAACTTTCTTTAATAAATAATTTCACAGATTAACTCTTGGCATCAACTGTGTGTCAGCATCTGCATGTGATTGGTATACATAATAATTAGACTTCAGGTAGCTATTTGCTGGTTTTAGTCCACTGCTGCCTTTATAGTAGCAATGAGGCAAAGCAAACATTACAGCTTTTACAAATTAATGTATACTTATCCCATTTCAGAGAGCTCAAGATTCATTATTCACTAACACAAGGATATACATGTAGCAGAGGAGTAGACCTGTGCACTTCTCCCAAATTGTATGTGAAATATTGTGGGACTAAGATGTGCCATATATAAACCCATAGACATATAAGCTTAACTTGGTTACGTCTTTGAAATTATTTCACAAACTATACTTATCTAGTATCCAGATATATTATTTCTATTTCTTTCTTCCTGGAATGTTTTATTCATTTTAACCCAGTCGGTATTCTTAATAGGATTGCATTGCTAAAATTGTTCGTTATTGTTTTAGTACAGAGTATAACAACTAAATCTTTATATTTTATTTTTAGTGCTGAATATATGCTATAAATTAAAAAAGTGTCATCAGAGGATATGCACTAAAAAGCTAAATGAAACTTCAATATAGAGATAGCATTTCCAAGTTAATAATCTATAAACTCCAATAAGTGCAA